ACAATTTTGGCCACCACTGTATATAAGAAAAAAAACATATAAAGTCAAAAATCTGAGTCTCAGAGCCGAGTTTCAATTTTATCTTTGTAGTATTTATCTGCAAAATCTTTCAAATTTGAATAGTTCCTTCTAAAAAATCTTCCTTAAAATCATTTCTATATTTCTCTTTTGCACTCCGGGTAAGCGTACATTCATCGTCGAAGTGCCTGGCGTCCCCAAACCTGGTCCTGGCGTTTCCCAAATGATATACGATATTTCGGGTCTTAGATTTCCTAGCATTTCCATTTATAACTAATAATGTATAAATAAACTGTGTATCTTTTCACATTATTCAGATCCTTAAATGCACCTACACATATTTACATACATATATACGCACATTTATCGTCATATGCAATATTTATCAGTTTTAAGTTCACGCATAAGAGATGTACATTGCTTTCCTTTTTCCTTTATGACATTATAATGAAAATTAATTTCTATAATTTAAACGTTTTGATATAAATCAGAATTTACGTTTTATCTGTATATGAATTCGCTTTGCACGATCCAAAATACTTTGATAAAAACACAAGCATGCAGCATGTTGTACTTTCTCCAACTTTTGGACTATTTTGTGGGGGTCGGGGGATCAATATACTGAATTTTCTATTCTATATTTTCCATTCTTATTTTTCTCTTATATTAGAATTTTGTTTTCGGTTTTAATCACACTGTTAAATCGTTTTTAGTTTTGAAAATTTCATTCTGAAACTGAAAACAAATAAAAAATATATTCTTGTTCTTTGTTTTGCACCAAAATAAATAACCAAAACCTTTAGAAATGACGGCTTATTTCTTTACTAACTTACAACGTTTTTCATAGAAAAAAATGAAAAATCATACAGCAAGTAATGAAACTTGTTTTTAAAGTAACAAAGGAAAAATTTGCCTAAACTTAAAAATTGAAGATATACTTTTAATATCTTCAGTTTTTATGTTTGGCAAATTTGAATTTATTTCTCAAGGCAAGACTTTTATTTAAAAAGCTGTCATTATCTTTTTCTTATATATTCCGGTATAATGTGGTGGTGTGCGTATCATAAGTTTCTATAATTTTAATTTATTTTTCTAATAGTTATTTTTATTTCATAAAAGAAAAACCTTCCCTTTATCATATGATTTTCTGCCTACCTTTCCCTAGCAGGATGAGTTTCCAGTATTACGTTTTATGCAAATAAGGCAGAAAGGAATATTGAAGCTGAGGTCTGAGTTACTTCAGTAGAAAAGCATGGTCTGCCTTTCGGTTACGTTGTTGCTATTAGTTAAAATTTGCTATGCTACGGCCGTACCGTTTATCTTAAATTGAGCACCAACTACGAGAGTTTGATTCTGTGCAGCTTCGGCTGATTAGATTTATCGAGCATTAGTTTAGTTTCATATTTTTTATTTTGGGTTAAATTTTAAGTAGATGCTTCTTGTACGCCCAAGAGGGGCCACCTGTAAATATATTTTGAAGTGGAAGAAAAGGGTAATTTAACCCTTCTCTGGATTTGTTACTTGCGCAGAAGAACTCAGCGAATGTTCGCTATACAGTTCTTCAGTATTCTAGCTTTCACAGAACTATGTTTTATCCAAGATATCACAAGTTAAAATTAATATTGTAGTCTCTGTATAATGTAACAAGAAGGTAACGATCAACACTAATGCATACTGTCAACAACTAACAAAGTGAAATAGCTTTGCAACTAAAACGTTCAGAATTAATGAATCGCCTTAATACTGTGCTCCATCATGATAATACCAAATCACATATATCTTAAGTTACGCATCAGAGATTACTATAGTTTGGTTGGGATTTGTTATCAGATTCACCACGCAGACTTGTCATTGCACCATTGGACTGCCATTTTTTTCTTATTCTGAAAGGCTACTTGTCAGGATATAACTTAAAAGTTTCATTTCAGATAAAAGTGCCAAAATGCTGTTGAAAAACTGTTTATTGGTTTTTCGGCAAGATAAATTAATATGTACTTATTATTATTTTATTTGTAAAACGTAAAATGGTTATTTAGCAAAATTATGTGCAATACAATTTACGGTTTTTTTTTTTTTTTTTTTTTTTTTTTTTTTTTTTTTTTACATAAAAGTAATTTTTGTTTCGATGAAAAAGAATAAGAATAATTTCCTAATGAAAAACCATAATTTGGTTTGGAACAATATTTGTATGACAAAAATTGATGGCTTAAAACATCTGCAAAGATATCTGAATTGTAATGTTTTGAATTGCAATGTTATTATATGTATGACAATACATATATTACAAGGACAATATATGTATGACAAAAATTGATGGCGTAAAACATTTGCACACACCTGCATTGTGATGATTTGAATTACAAAGTACCCACCTTCGCAGGTGATACCGAATTGCATGGAGGAGATTATTGACAACATTGACGAACGTATCAAAGATATTTGCAGATATTTGCATTGTAATTAGTAATATCTGCATTGCATATCTGCATAGACGAGCGTATCATGGAGGAGATTGTTGACAACATTGACGGACGTATCAAGGATATCTGCATTGTATTTTTTTGGAATTAGAATGTTTCAAAGTTCCCACCTTCGCAAGCGATACCACACTGCGTGGAGGTGATTGTTGACAACATTGACGAACATATCATCAGAAGGAATCTGTATAAATCCACGCTTTATGACATCTTTCAGTTCTGAAAACTCTCGTGGATTTGATGTGTACACTTCAGATTTCTGGTAACCGCAGAAACACAAATCCCTGTGAGTGAGCTTGGGGGATCGCAGTGGTCAGGAAACAATTGCAAAGTTATGGGAGGTGACTAATCTTGAAACGTTCTTCACGGTGAAAATTAGTAATCCGGATAAAAGGGTTTTTTTCCTCTTTTCCTTCTTTGCGAACGCTTTACTCTGGCAATTTTCGTCATACGTTTATCGTTCTATCGTCATTTATTGCTTTTCAATGCGCTGACCAATTGCGCAGGAAAAAACGTCGGCGTTGCTATTCGAGAATTTCAAAATTTTTTATTGTAATCATAATCGTGAGAGCTCTGTTGTTTGAAATTATCCCAATCTAGACCGCGTACCTTCATATAAAAGTAACAATATGTTTCATCTAAGACATCATAGCAATAAATAATATGCTTCATCTAAGACAAGTAAATAGAAAATTAAATATTTAACGCTATAATGTAGTAGCACAGAGTAAAAAGATTAAAAATGTATCACTTAATTTTTACTTGCTTATTATTTTCAAACTTCTAATCTCTCTCTTTTTCCCTTTCAATACTTTATATTTTAAACTTCGTGCTACATCGTATTTTTTCGGGAAAAAGAGAAAATTGGCTTTAATTCATAAGATTGTATAACATTTGCATTATAAAATGCTGCACCACCTCCTTTATAAGAAACTGTTTTCTGTAAGTGAAGAAGTAAAATTATTTATTGTATCTGACTTATTACGCGCTCATTCGTGTCCTACAAATTCCTTTACTGGTCTTATGTCAAAAAATGTAGCAATTGTAATTCATCTTAAAATAAGATTAGAAGTGCTGAAACTAAAATTGCTCACTGAGTCGATTTTTTAAAGAATAAAATTATTTTTAAATGCTGAAAAGAAGTTTAAGAAAAATACGTTGGTAATGATTTATAAATCTTATATCTTCGCCGCATACTTCAAAAAATTAACTCTACTTTATTTTTGTCTCGAATGTCTGTCAGAGAAAGTATATCGAATATTACAAAATACATCTGATACAAATACAATTTAGATTCAGGACAGGATTTCAGCAACTGAATATGCTTTAATTTAAAAAGTTACAGCTGTACAGTATCAAATTTTCTTTTTCAAATTTTCATTGGTGATTCCGATTAATTGGTACACGTAGGCAGCTGTGTGTGTGGAGAACGTGGAATCTCAGAACATTACTTATTTGAATTCTTTTTTGCAATATTTATGTACAGTAAACTCTATAAGTTAACGGTTTTGTTGAGTTTTGTAAACAACAATAACCACTTGCAAAAGAAATAATGGGAATAATGCAATACTTAATAATAACAGGTACGAAACTGTGCATTAAATTCTCAAGTTAATAACGGTATATCGTGTTGGCAGAAAAACAATTTCGTTTTTTTTTTTTTTTTTTGTGTGTGTGTGTGTGAAATAAAATTTAATTTTTTCTATTCATAAAATGAACTTTAATGGGTCAAATATCTTCCATTCTGTTCGATGGCCTTTCGGCATTTTGCTGGTAACTTCATGATTTTGCTGTCATAGAACTTCTGGTCTTTATCGGTAAAAAACTCAATCAAGTGAGATTTAAGGTCATCATTATTACTGAAATTTTAACATTTAAGAAGTTTTGCAAACTTCGAAACAAATGATAATCCGATGGTGCAAGGTCGGGACTATATGAGGGATGAAACATCACTTCACAAAAAAGCTGGAAAATCTGAACAGTTGTCGTAGTGGAACGCAATTTGTAAAATCTCTCCTATTCTCTTTGATTGCTTCCCCCAGTTTCATAAGTTATTGACAGAAATATTTGAGCTGATCGTTCAGTTGCTTGAAAGTAGCTTAAAATAGTGATAATTCGTTTCGTAAAAGGGTCAATTGTATTACGTTTGAATTCGTACCGCAGATATTAATTCGTTGTATTACGTGAATTTTACCCAATTCATGCGGAATTAAAATATCGATTATCTTAATGAGACCATTCGTTTATTCCTTTTCCTTTGGCATAACATAAAATGAAGGTTCACGGTATTTTTACATTCTAAAACGCATCCTGAAATTCTATCGTACATTAGTCCTTATTGTAGACGAAGTTACATGAGTGTCTAAGCAATCAGTTTCCTCATCATCTTCTTTCGTAAACTTATTTTTTAAGATTTCATTAAAAGCTATCTCTAAAAATAAATATTTTTGACTCATTATCACAGTTTAAAAAAATTAGTAAAGTTATCTTCTCTCCTTTCTACAGGTTTAAAAGAAGGAATAACTTCATTTCTTCAATAACAGAAGCATCTACCGAAAAGCCACGTATAAAAGGTAGGTTTCAGTGCTTTACTTTGAACTTGCATTTCATTGTTCATCGCAACCCTTAAGAAAATAATAATACTTGCTTAATAATGTCACCACCTTTAGTAATATTAGCTGCAGCATTCTATAACCTCTTCGTCGTCCGTAACGCGTCTAGCGCGTTTAAGGGAAACTTCAGCAGGGCGGCCGTAACGCGCCTCAAGCGTTCTTCTACATTATACCTCCTAGAGGGTAGCACTAATCAGGTATTCTATTTCTAATAGAATTTGTTCCGGGTTTTATGAATATTCGCGCCATTTTACATGAGATACAAGACAGTGAGAGATGATTTCAACGTCTCATCAGCAGAAAAAGAGAAAAAAGGAGTTTGTGAATTGGAAAGATGAGAAGGATATACGTTTAATGAGTACAGTCCATAATAACTCGATGATTGATGTCGGAACATGGAAAAGAACTGTAAAAAAAACAATAATTGTAAAAGATTACAACAACAAAATGGGAGGAATGGACCGCCTGGATCAGATTTTATCAAATTATCCTGCTGTTAGAAATAAGCAGAGATATTATTATTTTTCCATTATGCTTTATTTCCTTATAATTTTACTTAATATTCATTGACATTCATCCACTACGAAAGTTATGTATGGGAAATTATGATGTACAGAGAAAACAACATTACACGCTACGAAAAACAGACGGCCGCTTGGGGAAGGGGATTTTCGCGGACAGGAGAGGAAGGAGAAAGGAAAGCCTAAAGAAACAAATGTTTTTCTTTGGTATATTTTTAGAAACATTTTTTTAAAAAGGAAAATAATCCTTGATATAAGTTTAAAATCGGTATGGCATTTACAGTTGATATAAAAACCGCTGCATTTTCCCATTTCAGATTATCTTAACGATCCTAACAACTATCCGCAAAGGATACACCTTGCCGTTTACTACATTGCAGTATGAAATGACTTCAATCATTCTTTAAAAGTATCCGATAACATCTCAGCACGAACATTTAATTTATAGTGTAAAAGAAATTATTTTACTCCTCTTAATACTGGGAATGTTTTATTTTACCAATTGCGAATAACTGAAATTTGTGGGTTCCGTCGTAGTTGGTGAAAGATAAATACTACATTTCAGTTTCTAACAGCATATTTTTGTGACATTTTGTTAAAGTAAAATTCTTTTTCTCTTCAGCCGCAGGTTATGAAAATATAGTATATTTTTAAAGCATTCTGTTTATTACTGTGTGCTATGTTTGCTTTGTCAGAAGAATAAAACGAATAAAATAGTGAAAAATATATCATTTCTAAGAGGTAAAAATCTTCATTCATGAAAGGAAATAAACAAGATTCACGTTTATCTGTCCAAGACTTCAGTTATTCCTCTTTCCACATCAGCATGATACTGTGTCTACTGCGAAAAGGAAAGCTAAAGATTTACATAAAGCTTAAACAGTTTAATAAATAAAACGCGATTTCCCCTCTAAATTTCAAATACTTATTCGTACGACAAAGATTTTTAGTTCCATTATGTAGAGAATTTCTTCATTATAGTGTTCAGTTGCAATTGTTTGGTGGTACAAGGATTTCATTCGCTTATACGCTATAGTTTTTAATCAAATTTGAATAAATAAATAAATTTGTAAATGCAAATCATGTGACATCTATTGCTTTTTTTAATGTAGTATGTATGTAATAATCATATTGTCTGGTGTTTGTTAAAGTACACATGGACATTACACATGGAACTTCTTCCTGTCTCATTGATTCAGCGCTTCACAGATGTTAGGCAAGCCGCACGCAGCGTTGGAAACCGGCTAAGATTTATTGCAAGAAGAAATCAAGTTATCTAATATATAAGACAATATATGTGTGGCCTAGGGTAAAGTTTTGGTATATGTGTATCTTTCTTTACCATACCTTACATTAATGAAATCCTGAAACTGACACGCTGTGCTTGTCTCTGGTGATCCTTCAGCTTCTAATTTTCCCAGAGTTAAAGTAGATCTGATAAACACCCAACTCTGTTAAAAATGTTAATTTCACACCGCTAACTGGACAAAATTTAACGCTTTGCGAAAAATTCATAAACGTCGTCTTCTTTTTAGCTCTATGGAACTGCATCAAGTTCTCCAGGTGAAACTGCATCCATACTTTTCCATAGTAGATTTTCTCGAATAATGATAGAATAGAAAAACTCATTTGAATTTGTTCAGAGGTGGGTGGGAAGAAATGTAAATGAGAATATTTTCTCCAAAATTCATATGTGATTTTTTTAATCTTAAATAAATTTTTATTCATTTTTCAGTTCAAGACGCGGTGAAATAGCTTGAAACTTCTTTTCATGAATTACAATTCACTCAAACAGGGGGAGAAAATTTTAATTTTTCTAACTGAGAATTGTCTGAGTCAGCCTTCCCTCCATTTTCAAAGCAATTACTAACTCCTAATCGAAAGGTAGCGTCCTTAACCCTGTCAATCCATTACTTTGTAGGGTTACTCACTTGAATCTCGTTAAATATAATGCCGAGGAACCTAGTGAACTGCTAAATGAATAATCGTTTAAGTCCAAGAACAGAAACATAAACTCAAGAAGAGTTAATAACCTTTATTTGCTCAAAATAAAGATTTGTAGTTGGCCCCTTTCTCAGGGCGTACAACAAAGCCTCCTCTTGGGCTTAAGCTCGGAATGTAACAAATGAGAACTGACAACTGACTAACTAAGGAGATTTAGCCGAAGCTAACACAGTTCTAAACTAGTTGCTATTAAATTAGCCAACGAAGCTATCAAAAGGCACGTAATACGGCCGAGAGAGACATAGCCAAAACGCAAACGCACGCTATTCAGGAATAACTCTCTCTCCTGGAATCGGTGGAACTTTGCCTTAAGTACTTTCTTTTTCTCATTTGTATTTAACGCGATTCTAAAAACTCATTTTTGTAAGGAATTGTAATCTAAAGCTAGAACGGATAGGAAATTAATATAAACTTAAATCAACTGTCATAAAATTAAAATATATGTTGCAGCTTACTGGCATTCACAAACATCATTTGGAGGACAACTGTCTTTTCCGTTCTGGGTGACACTTTCACCCTTTCCGAATGCAGTGAAAAGTGCTCTATCTATTGTGAATTCAAGCATCCGATAGAAAATGAATATTTCATCTCCCATCCTTTCTTGATATTCTGACTATCTGCAATGAAATTCTCCCCTTGTTAACATAAAAAAACATCATGATATTAAAATCAGCCCAACATAACGATTCATACTACACATTTTCTTTTTATCAGTTACAAAATTGCTAGAATTACCCATAACTTGCATGCTGTTTTGGGGGGGGGGGGTGTTTCATAAAATTCGTTATTAAATCTTTAAGCTTCGTATTTCAGATTTTAACTCTTGGAGTAATTTTTAACGTTTCCTTATATGCGATTTAACATATAACTGTCAACTTACTTGTCTGTTAAATTTTCGCATTAAAGAATTTCAATTTAATATTCAGTGTTACATAAAGAAATAAATAAATCTTCAGCAGCTACTCATAGCTTCTCCCTAAATTATTCTTTTGGCTTTAGTTTAATAGCAATTAGCCAAACCTTTACTTCCCTTAATTAATTATACTACTTCAGCAAATTTCACATTCGCAAAAATGTATCTGCTTTAAATTAATGCCATTAATTTTCATCCTTTCCTTCTTAAAGCTTTAGGAATGTGAATCTCTTAGCTTTCATTTTTCATTGTGTTTTCTTTTTCCCAATAAATAACGCTATTTTCATTTTGCTTTGGCCTTCCCTCGTCATTTCGCTCTTCTGTCTGATAACCTCAGAAAAATGTGTTCTTTGAGCAAGAAGAGATGTCAGGCCTCCTGGATAGAATCTATGCTGTATAAATCTGTGCGGATTTGTCTTCAAGTTTGCGACATCATCTCCTCCGGAAAGGCGAGGTGTTGAATTTCGAAAGATGTATCCCCCGAGATTCCAAAAATTATTTTGAAGATATTTAGACCATTCTCATCTTTGTACGCGTTTAATCAGCCGAGTTATTAATTAAAAACTCTGAAAACTCTAATTTTCATGTAATTTTTTCCGAGTGGCAACAGTCTCGCGAGCTAGGGATAAAAATCAAGGAAGTTAAAATAGATGGAGTAAGCATGACATCACAAAAATGAAGCCAAGGAAATGTCAACAACGTGAGGTAATAACGCCACGACTTATTATGGCCGCCATTAAGCATACTACATATAAGATACGAAACAGGTTGTTAAATAAAATGACACAGACTGTAAGAGCAAATATCAGTGCCCGGAGGCTCAGAAAAGTGTCTTTAGGCATACCACTGGCTGTTCAAAGTTTCACCTTGTCGTATAGTTACCATTTATACATTTTCATACATCTAGATTTTATTGAATTTTAAGCAGATAATTGTAATCCTTGTGATTTTCTATGTACTAAGTAGAAAATAATTTATGTCAAGTTCTGAAGTTAGAACGCGAGACTTCTAAGCATTCGATGATGAAAGCTAACATATAGCAACGAAGATCTGAATGTAAACAAAACCAACCAAAAGCTCGAGTATGGCAGCTGCCATGATAAGTCGTGACGTCATACTTTGAAGTTTGCATGGCCTCACTTTCACTGTACGGGGCAGAAGGAGAAGGCTTACTGCATTTATTCTAACATCCTTGATAAAAAAAGCTTTAATACGAAATGTATTGCCACTGCTCGCTTTCAAATCGTAGCCTTTGTTAATCAAAAATTGTTGAGTTTTACAAAATAAACAAAAAGAAATAGCATTGCCGCGCATTAAATACATTACTATTATATAAGGATATATTTTGACGTTGAAGAAAGCACAAGATTGTATGTGACGTCATTAGATATCGAAAATGTTTCGTTAATGCCAGCGTTTTAAATAAATAGCTGCTGTGGTAAATTTTTTGTTTTAGATTTGGATAACTGGCAGGTTATGCTATTGCCACGTTAATACTTTTATTGATACCACGGAAAACTTTT